CGAAAATTGACTAAATAGCTGTGTTGATGAATCGCAACTAAGCAACGTCGATTGCGTACACAAGATTTACGCAAAATATTTTGCGTACGCAGCTTGATGAATCATGAATCTACCCCCTGGACCCCACCCGTCAGTGCAAGCGCACACGGTATCAGAGTCTACAGTTCCCAGGGGCGTGTACAGGGGGTCCGGATCCCCCCCCCCTTCGCGTGCTCCTGTTCACGCCCCTGGTTTCGCCCCCCTAAGAAAATACCCTGGCGCCGCCCCTGACTACACTAACTATTCAGGGACTACAGTTGGATTGGGCTTTGGCTTGTCTCTGTGACAATGTAATACAGTGTTACTGTTAGTGAGTCAGACTATCATTTTACTTTTTAGTCTTAAATCTCGTTAAGAATGCTAACGTTACATTAGCATACTGTTATGTTCTCAACTAATTACGCTACTTACATAAAATAACATGTTTGAAATCATTAATTACTGTAAACAAATCCTATACGTGCATAATGCTGCACCCACCTATGTAGCCTACTGACTGCTGTGCGGACTTGAATCAAACATGGCACCTTACATGCGCCGCTTCCGCTCCTTCGGCTGAACAACACTACCGGATGCAACCCTCAATCGACGTGCCAGTTTTGACAATATATACAATAACATTGCTGAACAAATTTAGCCGTGAGTAGTTAAGTTACTAATTTCAATTATTTAGTTATTTAAAGCGTTGTAATTCTTTGTAACATTATTTTACTTTGGTTGTGGTAAAACGGAAGTAACCGTAACGATAAACGCTATGGCTCGCTTCAAGTTCAAGAAATCCCGACAGATTAAATGAAAACCCGGCACTTTCTTCTATTTAATCAGTTTTCGTTTAGTGTTGTGTCGGTATAAGACAAGGTAGATTGAGAATTAACTAGCGCACCATATTCATAAAAGAGCAGTACCTTCATGAGTAGGTACATACAGTTATTCAAGTGGTAACGGATCACTTCCTGCAAAACGCCTGCATGATCATTCGATTCATTGCATGTGCTTTCCAACAATTATGATTTGTTATCCCTTGAAGTTGAACCACTATACTAGTTCACAGCCACTGACTGAGTCTATAGCTCTCGTCCAATGTCACTACGGCTACCCCACACGTCTCATGCTCGTCTGTAGTAAAGCCCATCGTGTAGTATAGTTAGTGTAGGCCGATAGCATCAAATGCTGGAAAGCCACATCAAAAATGGAAATCGAGCCTGGCTAATAAAAGCATATAAATCATTAAATAAATGCCATCGTCGGTATCGGTCTATGTTCCACATCGCTCGAATGTTTTTGTTTGTGAGTGGTACTGAGATATATACATTGGTTAACAGCCCTCTCTGTTAGAATAAAATCGGATACAGTAATGAAGCCCAACACAATCATGTTGTACCGTGTAGTACTAGTACTCTTGCGTCGAGTTACATTACTGTATCTAGCAGGGTGCGAAATTAACGGGAGTCCGGAGTCAAATACTCCCTGATTTACTGTCGGACTCCCTGATTTGACATATGCAGGAGTCCGTGTGACTCCTTGAAAATTCTGCCATACTAACGCTGAGAGGGTCTATGTCCCCCAGGGTACTGCCGGAACTTACCCTGGTACTATTTAATATGCTGGACCGTACCTCGCCTACTCCACTAACGAGTCTAGGGAGTTACCTACGCCTAGTCCCTAACCCTAACCATATCAGATAGTTACCAGGGTACGTTCCGGCAGTACCCTGGGCCTGGGGGGACATACACCCTATGAGCCATACTAACTAGTTCGTTCTGGAGCACGGCCTCGAGGAATTACCGTATTCTTTCAGCAAATATTCAAAGACAACTTGGCAGACATATGCAACTGCATGGATCTTAAAAATAAGCACGTGCGTTATTGTTAATATCATTAATTTTGAACCTCAGACTGTGAACTCCGTCGTTTTGCTGCGGACTCCCTCTTTTTGAGGGTAGGGAGTCCGTTGGACTCCTGTGTTCAAAAGTTAATTTCTACCCCTGTCTAGAATAACATGCATCCGCTTTCTGGGTTGGTACCTCTGGAAAAGCAACAGTGCAATGTGGGAAGGATTTGTTTCTAGTGTTTGGTTATCAGTCGGCTTCAATGCAGATTTTCCACAGAAACGAATCCCGTCCACTTCCCTCCTCCTCATCGGCCCGTCTGAATCTCCTGGCCTACCATACATAAACACATATTTTAATATTGCGAGTTTTGTCGGGAAACCCGAATTAACATACAATGTACCATAAACATTTATAAGAAGTTACCGCCTCGCGTATGCCGTGCGCTGAAGTTATGTATAAATTACTATAATATAAACATGTTACCGTCGCTCTGTGTAGGACATGCGCTCTATAATAAACCAGTCACTTCGTAGAATCCGAAGAGCGAGTACTGTTTTACTCTTACGTCTATCGTGAACCTGCAATTCCTCCACAAGTTTATATATACAGTGCGACTTCGTTTATCCAGCCACGTCGGGACCGGCACCCATCCGGATATGCGATTTGGCCGGATATGCGATTTATGCTCGCGCATCGTATGTTTATGTGTTCATGTTTTGTGCATGTGATAGCCGTATATTTATACATGTACATGTACATGGGCGTTTGCTCTTACGGTAAGTGTTTGTTTTGTGCATGTAATAGCTGTGCGCTCTTACGATAATAAATGGTACATCTCGCGAGTTTTGAGCGAGCTGTGAGCGAGATTTTTAGGTGGAAATGAATGAAAAAACAGAGAACATACACTGCGAGATCGCGGCCGGTTAATAGAGGTTTCCGGATAACTGGTGGCCGGATAAACGAGGTCGAACTGTATAATAATGTTCCCTAACGCTTGTTCTATCGCAGGTTTCTACGGGCGCCCGCGGGCGGCACCGCGGTAGTCACGGCAACCGCGTCGCCGTAGCGATGGTGGGCTTCGACCCGCACGACAGCGTGACGCTGACGCAGTCGCAGCAGGCGCTCGCCGGAGCTAGCAGCGGCATCGTCACTCGCCTGGTCACGCAGCCGCTAGACGTGCTCAAGATCCGATTCCAGGTAGGCAGAAGGACGGAAGGTAGGGATAGAGGCAGAGGAGATAGAGATAGAGGGAGAGGAGATATAGATAGAGGGAGAGGGAAAGGAGGTAGGGATAGAGGGAGAGGAGGTAGGGATAGAGGGAGAGGGAGGGGGCGGTTTTGGCCGGCCCTATGTCATTTGCAAGAAAATGAACGAAGATAGAAATTGAAAGAAAAAAGAAAAAGAAAAGAAAAAGGAAAGAAGAAAGAAGAACACGAAACTCTTGAAATGTGCTTGGGCAAATGATGGTGGGGTGGGGGGTGAATCCGCCCCCCGAGGCCATCATTTGCAAGAAAAGGTAAAGAAGTAAGAAGATTCTTGCAAATAATAGGGGATCGGCCCAAATAATGAGTGATGTAGCCTACAAGCTGGAGCCAGTTTCATTCGAAAAATCGATAAAATTAGTGTCGAAAATTCTAATGCCATATAAAAGCCTGTGCGTTAATTTGATAATCGATGTCTAAGGTGTTATTTCCGTTGGGAGTCAAGTTGGGACGGCTCAATTTGTCGTGATCGCTGTTTCGCTGGGGAAGGTAGGCTGATTTGAGGGTGTTCACAACTTATAAATTATTATTACACACGTGACAGACTCGACCTCTAATAATACCTCTTACATGGCTTATCTTATTTTTATCCGTCGCCCACGAAGTGGGTGCGTGTGTGTGTGTGTCTGTGTGTGTGTGTGTGTGTGTGCGTGCGTGCGTGCGTGGGGTGAGTCGTGCATGCGTGCGTGCGTGTGTCGCGATCGATATTTTAAGGCGCGTCAGCGGAGGCGGAGCATACATGTACGTGGGTATATGTGGGTTATCTCGTGTGTTGCGTGAGTCTTATGGGTGTATGGCGTATGTCGCTGGGCGGGAGGTATGCTCTTCTGCCGTGAGGTGCGCCTCTGTCTTTAGTTGTAGTTAGGTGTGTGTATGCGTGTGTGGCGTGTGCGTGGCGGTTGTCTCTCTGCTCGGCGGGTCATGTTTTTCTCGTCCTCTACATAATAGCATAGCAATTATTGGCTAAGTGCTACGAGCATACGATTTTAAAGCAAATCATGTTCCCTTCCACAGTTCGCGGAGACCCCCTTTTTTTAAACGTGTCCAGGTTTCATTAGATTGAATTTCAGCGAAATCCTAGCTAGTTTCCGGAGACCCCCTTTTTCGAACATAGCGGGTTCGAGAGGCATACACATCTCAACAGAGCATTTAGTTTCGGCAGAGACAACATTTTAGGTGCTGAGTGTAGTTCCAGAGGGCCGCCCCCCCCGCATTTTTAACTTCCAGTGGCACATCAGATACGTCCTAATGTGGGGGGGTGGAAAACGTCGGCGGCCCGCCCCCGGGGTTGTTATCTCGCTGGGTATATGTTGCTTCAGCTTGTTCCCTGTACAGATTCTTTGTCAGCAATTTGAGGGTTTGATTAGCTAAACTCTGAGAGCTTACCCGCGGACCGCTATGCCAGGCCCTGGACCGGATTCATCAACGTTTCGCAAGTGGTATTGCGTACACAGAGTTTCTACGAGTAGCGTACGCAAGCGTGGCGTAGGTGCGATTCATCAACGGCGAGCGTTAGCACCTGCGTACGCAAGATGTTTGATGAATTCGGTGTAATCGCCTACGCATCGTAGCTGCGGCTGTTGCGGGTAGCGTGCTTAGCTAAACCAATCACACTGTTGCAAGCACATACATAGGAAGCCGAACTGACGCGCTCTCTTGTATGAAATACGCATATGGGCTCTAGCTGCTGATCTACAGGAGTGCTGGGGGATGTGATAGTTGTCCGTCATTTTCGTTTGTATGACTTTGTGTTAAGCACTCGAGTGAAAGCAGCGGACGTACGCGTGCGTGCGTGTGTGTGCAGGTACACGTGCGTCGTGTGCACGGTAACGTGCGTGCTTGCGTACGTAGCCGGGCGTAGCGTGCGTACGTACACGTGGCGTGCTGTGTGCAGGTACAGTGCGTGGGTGTGCGACAAGTGCGGGCGTTTGCACGTTACAAGTGCGCACGGCATGTGACGTATACACGGCTAACCTACGAACTGCGCTTATAACGAAAACATGCGCAAGCTATGACAATAAAAGCGTCAAAGGCGCAGCCTGTCTGTGTTAGTATGGTAATTTATTTATTTATTTTTTAGTTGAGTAGTAATTTTATAATGTTTTCTGGCAATAAAATAATGCAATGCTGGCGGCATGGCTAGGAAACACTTGTGCAAATTTCGAGTGTTTAGCGGCACCTGTCAGCTCGTGTAAAGTTACGCAAAGGTTTCGTAAATTTGGCTTGATGAATCGAAGCCTAAATACGGCCTCGCTTGAGCGTAAGCGCGAAAGTGCGTACGAAAATTTCTTAAATAGCTGTGTTGATGAATCGGCACTAAGAAACGTCGATTGCGTACAAGATTTACGCAAAATTTAAATTTTTGCGGTACGAGCTTGATGAATGCATGAATCTTACCCGCCTGGACGCTCCAGCCGTCAGTGCAAAGCGGCACACGGTATCAGAGTCTACAGTTGCCAGGGGCGTGTACTATAGCAGGGACTATACTAAAGTTGGATTGGGCTTTGGCTTGTCTCTGTGGACAAGTGTATACGAGTGTTACTGTTTAGTGAGTCACTATCATTTTACTTTTTAGTCTCAAATGCTCGTTTAAGAATGCTAGTTAGCATTATCATACTGTTTATGTTCTCAACTAATTACGCTACTGTACATAAAATGACATGTTTGATCATCATGTAATTACTGTAACAAATGGTGCATAATGCTGGCTAGCCCAGCTATGTAGGGCTAACTGACTGCTGTGCGACTTATCATAACATGGCGGCGTTAGATGCGCCATTGCGGCGATTTGCGTCTTCGCTGAACAAACTAACGGATGCAAGACTCAATGCGACGTCGGCCAGTTTTGAAATATATACCAACATACATTGCTGGACAAATTTAGGCTGCGTGAGTAGTTAAATTTACTAATTTCAAATTCTGGCGGCAGGCAAGATAGCTGGGGCGGTATATGAAGGAGAAGGATGGGTGAGGGACAAGGGAGGCAAGAGAAAGAACGGAAGGAGATGAAACAGGAGTTTTGCACTCCACAGGCTAGGGCGCTCTCCTAATTGTGAACACAGGTCTACTGATAAAAATTTATTACAGAAATATAGCCCATAACCATATTAAATGCATCTTCATAACAAAATATGACTACTCTGGTGAGATATTGCGCATGCGCTAACACACTAACATAGCCAGATTGTGTATTGGCTGGTATATGCGGCGGGGACCTTATATGCAAGTTATTCTTCGTATTTCTAATGAAGAAGTCTACAGATGGAATTTTATCATATAAATCTATACTAGAATACCTCCTCTTTATTTTAAATGCATAATTTTTGCAAAATATTTTTCTTTTCGAGAGATATTGCGCATGCGCGAGCACCGTTTAACGCGTGCAGTACGGATTGAACAAAAATGCATAATATAGCTTGCTGAGAGAGCGAGAGGGGTGGGAAAGTGAGGACACGTGGCAGGCAAGATAGCTGGGGGCGGTGGAAGAAGGAGAAGGATGAGCGAGGGACAAGGGGGGGGAGGCAAGAGAAAGAACGGGAGGAGATGAAACAGGAGTTTTGCACTCCACAGGCTAGGGCGCTCTCCGAATTATAAACACAGGTCTACTGGATATTAATTTATTTCAGAAATCTATACTGGGGGAGTAAGTGAGTGAGGAAGGGGGGGGGGGCAAGAGAAAGAACGGGAGGGGATGAAACAGGAGTTTTGCACTCCACAGGCTAGGGAGCTCTCCGAATTATAAACACGGGTCTACTGGATATTTATTTATTTCAGAAATCTATACTGGGGTACCCCCTAATCATATTAAATGCATATTCATCACAAAATATGACTACTCTGGTGAGATAATGCACATGCGCTAACACACTAACATAGCCAGATTGTGTACTGGCTGGTATATGCGGCGGGGACCTTATATGCAAGTTATTCTTCGTGTTTCTTATGAAGAAGTCTACAAATAGAATTTTATTATATAAATCTATGCTAGAATACCTCCTCTTTATTTTAAATGCATAATGTTTGCAAAATATTCTTCTTTTCGAGAGATATTGCGCATGCGCGAGCACCGTTTCAGGCGTGCAGTACGGACTGAACATAATTGCATAATATAGCTTGCTGAGAGAGCGAGAGGGGTGGGAAAGTGAGGACAGGTGGCAGGCAAGATAGCTGGGGCAGTGCAAGAAGGAGAAGAATGAGCGAGGGACAAGGGAAGCAAGAGAAAGAACGGGAGGGAGATGAAACAGGAGTTTTGCACTCCACAGGCTAGGGCGCTCTCCTAATTCTAAACACAGGTCTACTGGATATTAATTTATTACAGAAATCTATGCTGAGATACCCCCTAACCATATTAAATGCATATTCATCACAAAATATGACTAGTTTTCTTGCAGTTGCAAATAGAGCCGGTATCTCAGCGCAGCAAGTGCAATTCTAAGTACAAGAGTGTGTGGCAGGCGTTCAAGCTGATTAAGTTAGAGGAAGGGGTGCCGGCATTGTGGAAAGGTCACGTCCCCGGCCAGGGCTGCTCCATCATATACGGAGTGTTCCTGGTAAGAGACATTCTTATGCCATTACTATGTGCACGTGCGTCAACGTATTAGCCAGCGAGCCGTGCAGCCGTGATTTGCACGGTCAGTTTTGAAACTGCACGGCCACAAATGTGTAGCACGGCCTAAAATATTGATCTAAAGACACACGTACAAAAAAATTGCACTCCCAAATATTTTTTCTGCAATCCCACAATACTCATCCCTGGCTAATACCATGATGTGCATGTGTGCATGGGTGTGTGTGTGTGTGTGCGTGCGTGCGTGCGTGCGTGCGTGCATTCGTGCGTGCGTGCATGCGTGTGGGCGTGCATGTGTGGCATTATGTGTGCGTGTATGTGTGTGTGTGCGTGCGTCCATGTGTGTGTGTGTGTGTGCGTGCGTCCATGCGTGTGTGTGTGTGTGCGTGCATCCATGCGTGTGTGTGTGTAAGTATGGGTGCGTGTGTGTGTGTGTGTGCGTGCGTCAGTCTAACAGTGCCCTCTATCCTCTAAGACTAAGTTTAACAGCGCCCTCTATCTTACTCTCTCTGCAGTTTGTCGTCTTTGAGACGATCACGCGTGACGTGTGGGCGTACCTGCCACACTCGGTAACGACGGACTGGAGAGAGGAGGTGCACTTCATCTGCGGCGGACTGAGCGGAGCGTTGGCGAGCGTCGCCGCCCAGCCGATGGATGTCATGCGAACGCGACTCATCGCCCAGGGCGAGCCCAAGGTCAGCGTAGAGATAGCGTGCTGCCATCTAGTGTGTGGTGCTGTAACTAAATCCTCAGGTAGAGCCCAAGGTCAGCGTAGAGATAGCGTGCTGCCATCTAGTGTGTGGTGCTGTAACTAAATCCTCAGGTAGAGCCCAAGGTCAGCGTAGCAGGGGTAGAAATGAACTTTTGAACAAGGAAACCCAACGGAGTTTTTCCCAACGGAGTCCCTGCCCTCAAAAAGAGTGAGTCCGCAACAAAATGAGGGCGTCCGCAGTCTGAAGTTCAAAACTAAAGATATTAACAATAACGCATGTGCTTATTTTGAAGATTCATGCGGTTGCATGTCTGCCAAGTTGTCTTTGGACATTTGCTGAAAAAATACGGCAATTCCGCGAGGCCGTGCTCTGGAACGAACTAGTTAGTTTATAGCAGAATTTTCAGGGAGTCACACGGACTCCTGCATAATCAAATCAGGGAGTCTGACAGAAAATCAGGGAGTATTTGACTCCGGACTCCCGTTAATTTCGCACCCTGGCATAGAGATAGTGTGTGGTGCAGTAACTAAACCCTTAGGTAGAGCCCGAGGTCAGCACACATAAAGAAGTAACGTACTGCTCTCTAGTGTATGGTGCTGTAAGTAAATCCTCAGGGAGAGGTCAAGGTTGTTATTAAGGGTTCGAAGTAGCGGTAGCGGGATGTGGCATTGTAGTGTTGTGAGGGGTAACTCCACGCTTAGGGAGTGTCCAGAGGCGTGGATATTTATAGGACATGTTATGTGCTCCTTACTAATTCACGGCACTATAGCTAAACCGTCGTTGCTCGGTTAGAACGCAGTGTCTGGGGGTGTTGTTGGGCAATGAATTGAGTGTTTCTTTGAGTCTGGAGTGCCTGGATCGTCTGCGGGTAGGGGAGGCAGGTAGTGATGTCACGATGATCGATTATACTCGATCATCGGTTG